GCTCCTATGATGCTGCTTGGCCTGCTGTGCTCATCCAGCTCTGCACCTTGTTGTCTCTAAATTAGTCCCACTTGCCTGCTCCTGGTCCATATCCCTCCAAACTGTTCCTATTCATATATACATCCAAGCGTCTTTTAAATGTTGTAATTGTACCCGCATCCATCACTTCATCAGGAAGTTCATTTGACAAGCGAACCACCCTCTGTGTAAAAATATAGCCTCTTATGGCTTTTTTAAATCTCTCTCCTCTCACCTTAAGAATATGCTCCTTAGTCTTGAAATTCCCCATTTTAGGGAAAAGACAATTACCATCAACTCTATCAATACCTCTCATTATTTTACAAACTTCTATCAGGTCACCTCTCAAACCTCCCACACTCCAGTGAGAAAAGTCCCAGCCTATCCAACCTTTCCTTATAACTCAAACCTTCCATAATCGGCAATCTCGCAAATCTCTTCTGAACCCTCTCCAGCTTGATAATATCCTTCCTATAACTGGGTGACAGAACTGGACACAGATTCCAGAAGAGGCCTCACCAATGTCCTGTACAACCTCAACATTACGTCCCAACTCCTATACTCAAAGGATTGAGCAATGAGGCAAGCGTGCCAAACGCCTTTTTAACCATCCTGTCTATATGTGATGCAAACTTCAAAGAACTATGTACCTGCACCCCTAAGTCCCTCTGTTCTACAACACTATCCAAGACCCTACTATTAATTGTCTAAGCCCTTCCCTTGTTTGTTGTACCAAAATGCAATACCTTGCATTTATCCAGATTGAACTCCGTCTGCCATTTTTCAGCTCATTGACCCATTTGATCAAGATCCTTTTGTAATCTTAGAAAACCTTCTTCAGTGTCTACATTACTACCAATTTTGGTGTCATCCTCAAATTTACTAACCATGCCTTCTATATTCTCAACCAAATCATTTCATACAAATGACAAACAAAAGAGGACCCAGAACTGATCCCGCTGGAACATTATTGGTCACAGGCCTCCAGTCCAAAAAGCAATACTCCACCATTACTCTATCTCCTGCTGTTAAGCCAATTATGTATCCAACTGGCAAGCTCACCCTGAATCCCATGTGATCTAGCTTTACTAATTAGTCTAACATGCGGAACCTTGTCAAAGGCTTTACCAAAATCCATATAAACAACATCTACTGCTCTGCCATCATCAACCTTTTTGCCAACTTCCTCAAAAAACTCAATCAAATTTGTAAGACATAATTTTCCTCGCACAAAACCATGCTGACTATCCCTAATCAATTTTTGCCTCTCTAAATGTCCATAAACCCTATCTTTTATAATCTCCTCCAACAATTTATCCACAGCCAAAGTCAGACTCACAAGTCTATTGTTCCCCAGTTTCTCTTTACAACCTTTCTTAAACAAAGGCACAACATTAGCTACCCTCCATCGTCAGGCACCTCACCCATTGTTATAAATGATGCAAATATTTCTGCAAGGGCTCTCGTAATTTCCTCCCTTACTTCCCTCAACATTCTGGGGTACATTAGATCAGGTCCTGGAGATTTATCCACCTTTATATTCTCTAAGACTTCCTGAACGTCCTCTTCTGTAATGTGAACTTTTTTAAAACATCAAAGTTTATTTCTCTGGATTTTTCACACTCCATTTCTTTCTCCACAGTAAAAGTTGATGTGAAATATTCATTTAGTATCTCTCCCATCTCCTGGGGTTCAACACAAAGACTTGCATTGCCAGCTCTTCAGTTTTAGATCGTAGAATCCTGACAGTGTGGAAACAGGCCCTTTGGCTGAACAAGTCCACAGCAACCCTCAGAGCATCCTGCCCAGACCCATCCCCCTATAACCCACCCAATCTACACATCCCTGAACACTATGGGCAATTTAGCATGGCCAATCCACCTAACCTGCACATCTTTGGACTGTGGGAGGAAACTGGAGCACCCGGAGGAAACCCACACAGACACGGGGAGAATGTGCAAACTCCACACAGACAGCTGCCCGAGGATGGAATCAAACCTGGGTCCCTGGTGCTGTGAGGCAGCAGTGCTGACCACTGAGCCACCGTGCTGCCCCAATTATGAATTAAAATATTGCTGTCACATGCAAATCCATGTCAGAACAAAACTAAGAATTCCCTTTACAACATCTTCACTGAGGTGGTTAATAGATATTAATGAAAGCAAAAGGTCCATAAGAGACCACTGGAGGGTTCCACTAGTTAATGCCAAGTTAGAACAACCATCATTAGGAAACCAAATAATTAGGTAACTTTGCTTCAGAAAAATTAATAATGAATTCACCATTCAGGTAGGTTTAGCTAAATGAATCAGGAGGAACCTATATTGTGCAATTATCTATGGCATTGATTTCAAAGATGCACTGATTGATAGATTGGAATTACATTCCCATATGTGCTGTTTTAACACAATTTGAACCCATTTAAATAAACAGGTGGATGAAAAAGCACTGAGAGTGCATGTAAGAAGAGATCAAGCTCCTAATGACTATATAATTATTCCTTCTTGTTTTACATCTTGACAGCTTTTGTGTTGCAGGCTCTGATGTGTCCATTTCTTAGTGAGGACTTTTCCACTAAATGAAACACTTAATTAGATGCCGATAAACTCTCATTCATACAGCACGAGCAACAAAACAAATCAGTTTCTCACCATGGGGTTGCATCATCTTGAGAGATTTCTACCGTGCAAACAACACAGGATAGATCCTGAATTCATTTATGACACCGACTAATTTCAAAAGCAAGCATATAAACCAGATTCTGTTTGGCAACAGCAAAAATAGGTTTTCTATAGCATGCATATTGCAAGTGTGTTGCCATGGTGCTGTTATATTTGCCTTCAACTGTTAAAACCAGAGTTGGAATAATTTCTTTTTATTTTGCAGCAGCAGTGAAATAGTTCAGGAAAGTAAACCTCTCCTGATAAGGAACAAAGGCGATTCTATGCTATTTCTGTAGCAGTAAAAATGTGGCAAATTGCATTTTGCCTGATGCATATCCCTCGGCTTCATTGCTCATTATTTCCGATGACAGTATCTCCTTTTCAGATGAGCTGCTGAGGATGGAAACTATTAATGCAGCATCTCGCTGTAGGTCACTGGTTACGAAGGGTAGAAAATTGCCTAATTCTCACGTGGAGACTGAGATCAGTAGCAAGAGAGGAAAAGTGAAGGGAATGTGTGGGGGAGATGAACAATGGGGTGGTGAAAATGGGGCATGGGCAAGCTGGCTAAATGTGTTGACAATGGGATCATTTTGTGGGTCTAGGAGAAACACCCGAGCATCCCAAATGATACATTGCCTTTTTAAGAGCAGCCTCAAAACTTAAACGCTGTTCTTAAACGTGTCAAATACATACGTGCATGCACCTGTGTATGTTTCTTTTCTCAACAATTCTCTCCTTAGAGGTCTCCTAAGATCCTCATTGGGGTATAATTTCATTGGAAACTTTGTGGATATAAGTACTTCTTACAAGTTCCCACTCCTCATGTTTGATAGTGTTGGCAACTTATTTAATTTTAAGGGGCATTACAAGTGAGCTTATTCTTGTCTTCCTTTCAATCGAGTTTTGCTGGATAACCATTTCTCATCCCTAACTGAGAGATGCTGAGGCCCATTGTAGTGCCCCAACCACTGTCCTCCCAGGAGACTAGCCAACTCAGTACTGGAGACAGATCAGACCTCGGACTCTGAGGTTCAACTACACATTGGATGAATTCATTCACCCATCGGGGTGTATGGACATCAATCCTTTATCATTAAGTAAAAAGAATCAAGTGGAATGAAATGCAACTTACCACAAAAAACTGTAGGATGTGGGCAGTTCAAAATTACAATCTTGTTTATCATCTCAGGATAATAGATAGCAGAACACCAAGCAATTAATCCACCCCAATCATGGCCAATCAAAACACACCTCTTGTACCCTGCACAAAAAATAAAGGACAACATTGTAATACACAGACCTTAGAAAATAAATGAAAGGAATGTTGATCAGTAAAATCTATCAGAAAACCGTATACTGCAAAACTGTTCAGTTCTAAAATATCCCATTGTTTCTACAACGGAAATCAAAAATGCTTGAGAAACTCAGTAGGCAGCATCAATGGAGCGAAAAACAGTTAATTTTCGAGTCTGATACAATTCTTCTCTGGAACATCCTTTCTACATCTCTTTTGTGGCGATACTGTTTAAGAGGTGTATTTTGTAATGGTTTTTTTTGTGAAGGAAGGTTGAGACATAGGTTGTGAGTAGTCTGTTCCAAGCCAATAAAGTAAACAGCTTGTGAGGCCTTGGGTTTTTTTTAAAAGTTGGAACAATAGAAACAGCATGAATGGGTGGAATCAGGGTCCCACAGAACCAGGGTTTTAGTTTAACTTTTAGTAGTTGTTGGGGCTTTGAAGCTGCCATACATCTCTCCCTGCTACATAAAAATGTTCTTTCTCTCTGTGCCAGAATTTTCTTTTGATGTTCTTTTATCCTGGACTAGGGAAATGTTGCATGTGAGACAATTTATTTTAGTGAATTTCCCTTTGAGAAGGGTGTATTTAAGGGGTGTTACTAACTTGGAACAGTTGATGTTTAGTAGTTAAATAATCTATTATTCTGTTACGTTTTCCAATAGAGTTAAAGTCAGACCAATTCTTCCTTCTTTTGTTTGTATTTTAACTGTAGAGAAAGAATAAAGTGTGTTTTGCTTAAAGATGAGTAGTGTAACCAATTGAATTACATCTGGAACACAGCACCTTGCCTTTAAACAGAAAAAATTAGGGTCTAGGCTATCTCCTATCTCTGACGGGGGTTTGGTTTGGTCCATAACAATTTCTAAACCCATTTCAAACATGGCACTTGGCTGAAGGTTTTGCTACTTGTACAACTTGATGTTAGTGGCTGTAGCAGGCTGTGCTGCAGAATGGCCATCATGCCTTGGTCCTTGAAGGCAAGTAAGATCGTAGCATAGTTTTTCATGAAATACTGGTTACCAAGATGGCAACTTTTTCATGCAGAGGTGGTGTTTGTATGGAATGAACTGCCAGAGGAAGTGGTGGACACTGGTACAATTACAACAGCTAAAAGGCACCTGGATAGTTATATGAATAGAAAGGGCTTAAAGGGATATGAGTCAAATTCTGCCAAATAGGACTAGATTAACTTAGGTTATCTGATTGGCATGGAGGAGTTGAACCGAAGGGTCTGTTTCCATGCTATACATCTCTATGATTCTATATTCACTTGTGTCTTAGAATCTTGGAAATTTCAACCTTATCCTCCTGCAAGTAATACTGAAAGTACATTTAACAGAAATGATTCAGATGTGAATATAGGAGATATGGTTTGTAAGTTTTCAGCTAACACCAGAATTGGTGGTGTAGTGGACAATGAAGAAGGTTATATCAGATAACAATGGAACCTTGATCAAATGGGCCAATGGCAGATGGAGTTTAATTTAGATAAATGTGAGGTGTTGCATTTTGGTAAGGTAAACAAGGGCAGAAGTTATACAGTTACTGGTAGTGCCCTTGGGAGTGTTGATGAACAAAGAGACCTAGGGGTCCAGGTGCATAGTTTCTTGAAAGTGGAGTTGCAGTTAGACAGAGTGGTGTAGAGAGTGTTTGGTATGCTTGCCTTCATTGGTCACTGCATTGAGTAAAGGTGTTGAGATGTCATTGTTGTGGCTGTACAGGACATTGGTGATGCCACTTTTAGAATACTGTGTTCAATTCTGATCTCCCTGCTACAGGAAAGATGTTGTGAAGCTTGAAAGGATTCAGAAAATGTTTACAAGGATGTTGCCAGGGTTGGAGAGTTTCAGCTATAGGGAGAGGTTGAACAGGCTGGGGATACTTTTTCTGGAATGCCAGAGGCTGAGGGATGACCTTACAGAGTTTTATAAAATCACAAGGGGCATTGGATAGGGTGAATAACGAAGGACTTTTTCTCAGGGTAGGGGAGTCCAAAACTTAGAGGGCATAGGTTTAAGCTTAGAGGGGAAAGATTTAAAACCGACCTGAGGAGCAACTTTTTCACGCAGAGGGTGCTGCATGTATGGAATGAGCTGCCAGAGGAAGTGGTGGAGGCTGGTGCAATTACAACATTTAAAAGGCACCTGGATGAGTACATGAATAGGAAGGGCTTAGAGGGATAAGGGCCAAATGCTGACAAATGAGACTAGATAAGTTTTGAATATCTGGTTAGTGCGCACAGGTTGGACCGAAGGGTCTGTTTCTGTGCTGCATGACTCAATAACTCCATGAGAAAACTCTGTCAACAGATTGATGGGAACCAGTCAATAGGCAAACACAATATATATTACACAGGCTTCCAAAGTACAAATTTTCCAGTCGATGTTGAGTTATTGGTGTCAAGCATTCATTACAGTTACATTTACCCAGAGTTTTCTTTGGGACTTTGTATTGGAAGATCCAATGATTAGAGATACATTTCAATGCAGTACCCTCCACATGGGATTTGAGGATTGTGTGTACATTTCCTTAACTAATCAGATTGAAGATCCCAGATTGAGACACATGATTTTTTTCCTTGACAACCAGAAAACAAAATCAGGACTGTTTCTGGGTCCCAAACTGTCAGGATGAGGAACAATTACCTGTTGGGATTTCCACAGAGATGTCCTCCTTAATTGGCATGGAGACAGGTTCCTTGAACAATTAAGGGCAGCTAGGAGGCTGCTGCAAACAGCTAAACTGAGACTTTCCAGTTGGACAGGAAGCTGCAGGTTGTGATGGCAAGTAACTTAACAGTGAGTGTGTTTGAACATGGAGATGTCCACAAGCCGGTTTTAAGATAATTTTTATGATAAAATGGTTCATGCAGACAGGCCACCACATAAGGTCGCCTCTACAGGCCTGTAGCTGTTTTCGCACCCAGGCAGCACCTTTAATTCTGTCTGAAACAATGGCCTGAAGCACCCAACAAATACTCACCTCCAGGTGCCCAAAATAGTTAAGTCAGTGCAGAACACTGGTGCGCAACCAGAAAATTACAATTAGCTTCTTTCAGTTCCGTTTAACAAGGTTCTTAATGAACTAATCAACTATGTACTGTTTGGAGGATAGTCCACCAGCCTTGAACCTGTGTCTTGTTTGGAGGGTAGTTCACCAGCCTTGAACGCATTTCTGTGGAATTGGGTGCAATTGGGAATGGCATCAGGAGATCAGCACAGAGACTGACATTTTTGGACCCCATTCATCTCTGTTCTCACAGAGGTGGCAATGTCACCATGCTGGTAATCCAGAACCCCTGACTAATGTTGTGGGCATGTGGGTTTGAATCCCACCATAACATCTCTGGGATAACAAGGTGTAGAGCTGGATGAACACAGCAGGCCAGGCAGCATCTGAAGAGCAGGAAAGCTGATGTTTCAGGTCTAGACCCTTCTTCAGAAATGTCTTCAGAAATTCTTTAGGAACTCCCCACCTACGTCTGTGACACCACCCATGCCCTCCACCTCCTCCAAAACTTCCGATTCCCTGGTCCTCAACACCTCATCTTCACCATGGGCATCCAGTCCCTATATATTTGCATTCCCCATGCAGATGGCCTAAAAGGCCTCCGCTTCTCCCTCTCCCGCAGGCCCGACCGGTACCCTTCCACCGACACCCTTTTCCGCTTAGCCGAACTCGTCCTCCCACTATCCGGGCATCTACATAACATCTCTGGGAGTTGTTTTACACTTTACAGTATTAACGTTGAGTTCTGAAAGCACCTTTGAAATTTTAACTACAAAAATATCAGCCATTATTTAAAATTGAAAATCAAAACCCAAAGATATTTTTTGAATTATTATCAAATGTGTTTAAGCCTATGGGGGTCAAAGCACACATTTCTTTAGAAACAGCAGCAACCACCTCCAGAGGTATCAGATTTACTTGGCAAATTGATTGCCAAGGCATACAACTCTGATTAAAATTAAGCCTTTATTTTGGTTTATTTTTGTAGTTCTTTGAACATGTGTAGACATGAAACAACAAGCAAATTAGATTAGATTTTTGGAAATTTAACATTATTAATACCAACTTAATGGTGAGTAGAAAATCATAATTTTGGTGCCAAGTCAAATATTGTCCATAAGACTGGAAAGCCACAATTTTCAGCAGGAATTTAATACAGTGGTAAGAGATTAGCAATTGAAAGCAACAATTAAACCAATTATTATCTCACCAGGGAGCTGAAGAAAGTCTTGGTATAATACTAGCTAGGCAAGAAGCCCACACAAGTTCCTTGGAAATATTTTGCTCCATTACACATGTCCAAAATTTCAAAGACTGAATGCTAGCTCTGACATTTCAGTTGAGAAATGAAAATGTAATTTTTCACAAAGGTAAATAATTTTGTTGAAAACCTAAACATTTTCCAGGATCATACGATAGGTTGGGATGAGGGAGTTCACCAATCCATCTAATCTCATTGTCCCAAAAGACCAAATTTGCCATCTTACCATTCTAGCATCAGTTGTGATATAAACTATAATTGAATTATTAAGTCACACGCCCCACTTCTGACTCAGTGACAAGAAAGGAAGTGCACAATTTCCAAATTTTAGCACAGCTGGTACTTAGTTTATCTCTGTTCTATATTAAAATGTTTAAAAATAACTGTCCCTTGTTAAACATTAAGGGACTGAATTTTCCTGGCTCATGAAAAGGAGATTGGAAGCTGGGTGGGACAGTAGAGACAGTGGCCTGGGAATTAGCAGGGAGAGAGTCTGAAAAATAGTGGAGACTGCTTTCCAAACCACTGCTGCTGTTCTGTGGGTTTGGGAAGACGATTGATTAAAGAGGGCTGAAATGAAGAGTAATGCTGTAGCCATCATCTATCAGTGACCTGAGACACATAATGAGTCCATCAGCTCAATGGTGGGAACTTTCTCTGTGCTGGGCTGGTGGTTGAGAGATTCCCCACTGATGGGCTTCAAACATGAACAGCAGTAGAGTTGTTTCCTCCTACATTCCCATGGGCCTTTCAACGTGAATCCTGTTCATGTGAGGACACCTCAGTTTTGAATGCATTAACTGTCCCTGACCTGTCTCTGCAGTGTCTGCCTCTCCTGGTGAAGCTATCAAGGGTCCTGGGCTGCCAAACCTCTGTGGCACTGACAGCCCACCCACTGTCCTTCGTTAGACAATGAGAATAGAGGCAGAGAATGAGGAGGTTGCCTTCTCATCAAGCACTGAGCAGGTCTCACTGTGGCAAGAGTGGGCTCTGAATCGGCATTTGGTCCTGACACTGGGGTCCTGAAGCCAATGGGAATATCTAGCTTCATGTTTTAAAGTGACAAATATATTCTTTTTTTTTAAGTGTTTGGGTGAGTGAGCTCAGTTAGATAATGACTGGAGCAAAAGGTGTGCATTCAGACCATGTACTAGCTATAGTAGTTCACGGACGCCCACCTCCTTACCTTTCCCAATGCTTGATGCTTTTCAAGCCCTATTGTGTCAACAATTGTCTGTCTCTATCTCTAATGGAGTGAGATGTCTGTGGCTTTCTGTGGTCTATGGATAATTACCTTAGGGGTCAAGGTATTGACGTGGATAGAGGATTGGCTGACTGACAGAAGGCAGAGAATGGGGATAAAAGGGTCTTTCTCAGGATGGCAGCCGTTGACTAGTGGAGTTCCGCAATGGTCCCTGTTGGGACCACACCTATTCATGTTATACTTTAAGGATCTGGATGAAGGAATTGAGGGCATTGTTTATTCCTTAGAACTGAAATGAGGAAGAATTAATATCAGCCAGAGGGTGGTGAAACTCATCGACGCAGAGGGCTGTGGACGCCAAGTCATTGAGTGTATTTAAGACAGAGATAGATAGGCTCTTGATTAGTAAGGAAATCAAGAGTTAGGGAGAAGGTGGGAGAATGGGGTTGAGAAATATATAAGCCACGATCAAATGGTGGAGCAGACTCAATGAGCCAAATGGCCTAATTCTGCTCCTATATCTTATGGTCTTATTATAAAGATAATTGATAAATTAAAGTGTATCTATTAACAGCAGAAAAGGAGGCTCTGGCTATTGCTTCTGGAATTTAATTCCATCTTGGACCGAGAATGATTTAATACATTATTGAATCCTCAGGTTTGTAGATCTTGCTCACCGCTCCCTGGATCCTAACACCCTTGTGAAGTTAGTCATGACTACAGAACAAAGCCAAAGTGCTACAGTGGAACTTGGTTACCATTGGTTACAATGCAAATGGAATATCTTAATTCTGCTGGGAGATTTGTAGAGAGAAACAATAAATTGTGGAAATCAGAAATAGAAATAGAGGAAGCAGCACACTAAATCCCCTGGAGTGTAGCCACAGAACAAAGCACATCAGTGAAAGCCAGGCATCCGTCCCAGAAACCTACCGAGGGACTCCACAATGTCCTTCACGTCTGTAATCAAACAATCCAGCTGGTAGTTTTCTCGACCAATGGGTGCATCTGACTCTCCGTATCCTCGTAAATCAACTGCAACCACTCGGAATTCACTCTTAAATTCTTGAAGCTGATAACGCCAAGAGTACCTGCATCAGAGGAGAAAATAATATGAGTAACATGGACACTGTTTACGATCAAATGGCCTCTTGCTATTTTTTAAAAAAGGAAAATGAGAGCATCAAAAGTCTTCATTTTCATCCTTAGGGTGTCCCTAGTGTATACACGGCAAACGCCTGTGTTGTCCAAAAGAGTGAATCAAAACCATCTGAATTCAATCCCAAGTCCAGCAAAAATGCTCCTCTTCTTTCTGCACTCCCAAGATTATAGGAGCAGAACTAGGCCATTTGGCCCATCAAGTCTGTTCCACCATTCAATCATGGCTGATATATTTCTCAATTCCATTCTCTTGCTTTCTTCCCATAACCCTTATTAATCACGAATATATCTATCTCTGTCTTAAATAGACTCAATGACTTGGCCTCTACAGTGTTCTGTGGAAATGAATTCCACAGGTTAACCATCCTCTGGCTGAAGAAATCCTCCTCATTTCAGTTCTAAAGCATCATCTCTTTGCTCTGAGGATGTGTCCTTGTGTCCTAGTCTCTCCTACTAGTGAAAATATCTTTTCCACGTCCGCTTCATCCAGGCCTCTCAGTATTCTGTAGTTTTCAGTGAGATCCTCCCTCATCCTTCAAAACTTATGTTGTTACCTCCTTCAGCTTTGTCTGATGGAATTTGTAGTTTCAAACTTGTAACTTTTTGAGGATGAACTGAACTGAAAAGGAAACTGATAAAGAAAACAGAGACTAAGGGGTGAATCTTACATTTTTTTGTCTAAATGCCAGTTGGCTTTAATTTGGAAGGTTTTTCATTGTGAGGCCTAATGTGATTTCTCACTATATCTTACTAAACTCACCTCATTTACTATGTAGCCAGCTCCTGGGATATCCCTCATGTCTGATCCTAACCCAATTTAACCATGTGCCACTCCCAGAACAGCTCACACTCACTGGATATCCACTGGAAGACCAACGTCTCTAGCAAAGTGCCATCATTAAAAGGCAGGTGCGCACCCAGGTGAACACTGGCTTTCTGAAGCTGGTTGTGGACAAAATGTGTACATCTTGGAGAGATAAAGACAAGACCATCAGGAATAGGAACAGGAGTAATCCTTTCAGCACTTGGGCCTCTCCGCCATCCCATTAGAAAGATGGTGCCTTGATTCTCTATCAGGTCTTGGGGGGTCCTACTGCAGAGGCTGATACAGAGGAGGGACTTCCCTAAATACCAGTAGAAGGGGCCACACCACAAGACCCTGGCAGCCTGGTTTGAGGTTACCATCTGGGTCAGTGCAGTCTCTAGGTTGGGGAGGAATGGCCTGTAGTGCCACCAAAAAATTCAATGACCTGCGCCCTGTGCCAGGATCACAGCCTACTACTGCACCCACCTCCCAACAAGGCTCATGTCCTGCCATTCTCACAACTGCCTGCAATAACTTCACTCACTCCCTCTTGCTTCTCCTGCCCCCAAACTAACCCTATATGCCCTTCATATTGCCTACTCACTCCCTCACTACCTCACCACCTTGCCCTAGCTGCACCAGCACTACGGGCACTGCCAGCCAATTCCCAGCCTTCCTGCTCCTATGGTGCTGCTTGGCCTGCTGTGTTCATCCAGCTCTACACCTTGTTATCTCACTGTTCACTCCTCTGTAACTCTCACAGTAACCCCATTGTCAGTATCATTCCTCACATGCCACTTCTAACCACTGCCACAATGTCTTCTCTCTCTTGTAGTGTCTCGCAGGTTTCACTCAGATACCTCCACCTTGGCAGAGAAACGGCCTGCTCTGCCTGACCTGGCGACAGGGGGACAGGGACCCTGGCACACACTCCAGGGGCCTCTTCCTCAAGGGAAATAGGGAGGTGCCAGGAGGCACCCATCTAGAGGGAGAACCACGTGCAGAACCCTCAAAAATCTTAGGACACTCCAGAGGTGGCTGGGCCTTCAACATCCATCTGCCTGCGCCCCCTTGGACTCTTGGCCATTTAAGCCAAAGAGTGCACTTACCTCAGCAGGTCAGGGCTAGCCAGACATAAATGTTCCAGGATCATCTGATCAAACCTCCAGGGTCAAAGGGCTCCACTGCTGAGCAGGCTCCCTCCACCCCAGCTGCAAAGCCAGGGACAATGCTGAGACCACAGTGGGAGGGAAAGAAAGTAAAAATTCTGCTGAGGGCACTTTGGTGGCACAAGTGACGGTGCACCATATATCAAGTATCACCTTTGGATATAGCTTATTAGTTTTGCACTAAATCTGTTTGTTCCGATCTCTATGTAGCTCCAAATGTAACTGAACCAGCTTGATGCCTAGCTTCATGCCTATATAGGATGTGCCATTGATCAATGTCTGTGTGGAGAGCCTGCTATAGGTCGCGGAATCTACAGGAATAAGCTATACGTGGGACAATAGGCTCTGTTGATACCATTAATGCTGAACCTAAAACATCCTTATTCTTTTCCTGGCCTGTGTCCAAAAGTGTTAGTGTGAATGATGTGGTCGGCAGGGAGTGAGGCAGGAGGTTTTACAGCACACAGGCAGCCAATGCATTAGGAACATCAGATTTTCAGGTTCTGTACAGAGCATGATTCTGTGTGTAATGTTTTCCTTTACAGGGACTCAAATCAGTCGGTCTTGCAGCACTCCCCATTCCTCACAGCTCGAGACACAGTGAGGAAACCCACCCACTTTAGGTGTGGTTGCAGCCATTTTCCTTCTAATTGTGCAACTCATGGTGATGCCTTGGCTCGGCATGCAAGTGGGTGCTGCTTGGGCATGTTCTCGAGGCACTGGGGGAGATCGGAGAGACAGCAGAGATGGTATCTGTGGTGGCGGCGTCGAGAAAAGGCAGCTAAGCTCTCCCAGAGAGCAAGACAAGTGGCGGGCTCATCAAAGGCTGTTGAACTTTTAACTTATTCCTTTACTTTCCTCATTTAACTAAAGAAAGACTTTAATGTTAACTATTATTATTTCTTTATTTTCTACTTATTCTATGAAGTAATGCTTAACATTTTAACTCTGTTTCTCTTATTACTTTGTACCTAAGTTTTTGTATCTAGATACCTAGGCAGGTAAGATGGTGCCTTGTGTGATGACATTACACATTTTTCACTCTACTCCTGTACTTGAGCACACATGACAATAAAATCTAAATCTACTGTAAAATCTACTGTACTCTAAAATCTACTGTAGCCCATACCTGCCCACCTTTGCACCCCCTTAGCTCATGGCATATGAGGGAACCATGCAAGGTGTGATCATACATTGTCTCCCTAATTCCTTGAAGCCAGAATGTTCCTGGCCATGGACAACATCCGCCCCCCACAACCCCCCGGTCCCCCCCCCCCCACCCCACCACCCCCCACCCCCCCAAAGGTACATGACACCCGTTCCCATCCATGCTTTACTACGTCCTCGTCCCCACTTACAGAGACCGTTGCCCCCATTCACAACTGTCATGCTCCCCCACCTCAGCCTGCAGCCTTGAATCCCCGTGAACATGATTGTAATTCGCCTTCCTGCAGTAGTACTCCTCCCCCTTATGATCCCAATCCATCTTTCCCTTTAGTTTCTGTGTATGGAATTTACAGACTGACTGTGACCCAATCCCTTGAGTGACCAAACCTGGATAGCCCGGGATGAGAATTGCCCAGACCCCTCACATCTATACATCCAGTCCCTGTACATACCCCTGACTGTGATAGTCTAAACCCTCACAGACAGAGGGAATCGGACAGAGAATATGGAAAGGGTCAGGAATCTAACTTCAGGCACAGTGGATAAGGGGACAATATTAAGAAGTGGATCAACGCAAAACTGAGGGTGCTGTACTTAAATGCATGCAGTGTACTATACAAGGTAAATGAGTTTGTAGTGCAGATTGAAATTGGGAAGTACAGTGCTGTGGGTATCACAGAGATATAGCTGCAAGGGGATTGGGACTGGGAACCAAATATCCAAGGATACGCATTCTATTGAAAGGACAGGCAGATGGGCAGGGGGGCGGGGCTGCCTTGTTGTGAGAAATGAAATTAAATCAACAGCAAGAAGCAATACAGGGTTGGAAGGTATAGAATTGTGAGGGTAGAGTTGAAGAACCACAAAGATAAAAAGACCCTGATGAGAGTTGTGTACTGGTCACTGCGCAGTAGTTAGGTTGTGGGGCAGAAAATAAATCAGGAGATAGAAAGGCGTATAGGAAAGGTACCAGTACAATAATCATGGGGGAACAGGGGAAAATCAGGTTGACAATGGCTCCCAAGAAAAAAAATTCATGAAATGTCTGTCAGATTTTTGGAGCAGCTTGTGGTAGAGCCCACAAGGGAACAGGCAGTTCCGGGTTTGGTGATGTGTAATGAGGCAAATTTGATTTCAGACCTTAACGTGAAGGAACAAGTTGGGGGCAGTGACAACAATATGATAGAATTCACAATAAAAACCGAAAGAACTGTGGATGCTGTGAATCAGGAACAAAAACAAAGTTGCTGGAAAAGCTCAGCAGGTCTGGCAGCATCTGTGAAGGCATAAGACAGAGTTAACGTTTCGGGTCCGGTGACCCTTCCTCAGAATTGACGGTGGCTGGGAAAACGTCAGTTTATATGCAGAAAAAAGGGGAGGGGGATGGAGTAGGGAGTAAATGATAGGCTAGAGCCTAAAGAGAGAGAAGAGCAGTTGGACAGACAAAGAGTTGATACCGATCAGGCTGGGAGGGTGAATATGAGATAACAAGGCGTAGAGCTGGATGAACACAGCAGGTCAAGCAGCATCAGAGGAGCAGGAAAGCTGATGTTTTGGGTCTGGGCCCTTCTTCAGAAATGGGGGAGGGGAAGGGCAACCTAGCTAGTAATATAAAAGAAGATTGCAGGATATTTTGTTAGACATAAAATGTCTAAGAGGGAGGCAAAAGAAGACATTCCAACACTGGAAAATGAAGCTGAAGATGTAGCTATAGGGAACAAAGAAATGGCGGAGGAACCAGATAGGTACTTTGCACCAGACTTCAAGGTGGAAGACGCCAGGAGCATAC